TGAAAAATTCAGCTTGTTCGGATATTAATGGAATAAATAGTCGAATTATTGAGGAAACTCAGGATATTATTCTTGTCCCATTTACCAATTTGTTAAATCTAATCTTTAAATCAGGTAATTCTCCTAACATCTTCAAATATTCAAAAGTGATACCTCTCCACAAGAAAGGTAACAAAGAGATTGTCGATAACTACAGACCTATTTCTATTATAAGTATCTTTTAAAAATCATTGAAAAATTAATTAAGAAAAGACTCACCAGATATTTCGAAATCAACAAATTTTTTTGCAGTTATCAATTTGGTTTTCGTGAAAACTGCTCTACCACCGATGCTACTATGTATGAGTGTTGTCAATGGCATAGTTGAGGGACTTGAGTCCGGGAAGGTTGTGGGGGTCACACTATTGGACCTGTCAAAGGCCTTTAACTGTGTTTCCCACAACATTTCACTCGAAAAACTGTCATATTATAGTGTAAGAGGTACTCCTTTGGGTTTGATTGGCACTTACCTAAATGATCGTTTCCAGAGAGTTTTTTTATAACAATACATTTTCTGAGCTGAGGCCGATTGACCTAGATGTACCGCAGGGATCGGTTTTGGGCCCGCTTCTGTTCATTATTTACATCAATGATTTTTACAACTATATGAAGCCTTATCACAGTGTAATATTTGCTGACGATACATCCTTGATATACTCTTCTAGGAATTATTCAGCTCTTCTTGAAAAGTCTATGGAAATACAAGAAGAAGCGGAGCACTGGTTCAGTGTCAACAGACTTATGATGAATAAGGAAAAATTACAAAACATGATTGTTTCTATGGCTCTGCCATTACCTGAATTCCAGTGTGTCAAATTATTGGGTTTTACTCTGGACAATACGCTAAATTGGTCAAGCCACATTTCAAGTTTGAAAAGTAAGCTATCGAGTGCCTTATTTTTACTCAGACAGCTGAAACCAATAACAAATTTCAATGCGTTGAAAATAGTATTTTGCTCGCTCATACAGTCTCACATTTCTTACGGTATTCTACTTTGGGGAAATTCTAGTGATGCCCAATGCATTTTTATATTACAGAAAAAAGCTCTGAGAATTCTTGCTGGAATCGGTTTTAGGGATTTTTGCCGTGAATCATTCATCACTCATGAAATTATGTCGGTTCTTTCTTTGTATGTTTACTCAAGCCTATTAGATATTCACAAAAGGGCCCCCTTGTTTCCCAAGCAATCCAGTTTACACAATCATGATACACGTAACAGCAATTTTATTAGACCTCAACTTTTCAGGCTGATAAAATCACAAAAATACTCCTATGATTTTAAATTGTATAAAGAATTTCCTGCCAATATTAAAAATATGAGTATGTTTTGTCTCAAAAAAGTTATAAAAATATATAAAAAAACTGTTTTTATTCCACTTCAGAATATTTCGAACATGTGCGTAGACACACTTTTGACGCAAGGAAGATGCTCGCCGAACCTCCACACTCAATTTGTTAATATCATATAATGTAAACTTGTTACAAATTTTTACTGTTTATTTCATTTCATAGAAAACTTTGTACCTTGCATCAATTTGTTTTTCTGACTTGTCATAAATGTATTTTATACATAACATGATCAAATAAATAAATATATCTATCCATTATTTACTATAATAAGTTTCATAATGACGATATCGTATATTTTTTCGGTACAACTTATTTTTTAAATTAGAAACGGTTCGTCTTATACCATGAGAAATCCTAAGCCAATCTTTTCAAAGTACTATTGGAATATCTTCCTTTTTATCAAATATATAATTTTTTAATTTTTTAATCGTTCATTTGCTATTTTTAATCAACTTCTGATCTCACCTACGACAAAGTGTAAACAATACCTAAATGAATGTTAGGTTAGATTGTTCATTCGTGAAACAATAGACCTCTATCTTGAATTTTAAAATGATGTCAACATCAATTCAGTGTATTTTTGAAGTAAACCTTCTTTACGCGCGCTTGACTTGGGAAATAAGCTGGTGAATTCGTGACGAGAGGGTTACGAAAAGTGTAATCGCGCAAGGTGAACGGAAGTTGAGAGGGAGGTAAAACTTAGTGAAGATTGAAATAGAGAGACTTACGTTTCATATGATACTGTACGCTCTATGTATGAGTAGGCTCTGAAGAATTAGGAGAAAACTATCATACGTTGTCACTAATTTTTGCAGATTCCAATGTTAAATTCGCTTCCGATGATGGACAACTTATGGTGAACTTTCAACAAGACAAATCAGAACGACAAATTAATAATAACCGAAATGAGTCACAAGACATGGAACAACAATCGATGCAATTCTCTTTCTAAGTTTCATTCAAAAATATATGTATCTTATTTCTTGTACCATAAACCTATTGTCTCGGTTTCATAATCAACCATAGTGAAATGAATTAAAAAAAATCTATTCAAAAATGTTAATTTATCGACTTTGCCACGCTTTCGCTTCTAATGGGAAGCTTCTTCAGGGCCTATAATTTATTGAGTTGTGGATTTTTTTGCCACTGAATAACCTTACAAATAATACTTAGAGTAAAAATGAGTGAAAAACAATTAATTGAATATATAAATTGATGAAAGAAAGTTAAACATGCATAGGATTTTTTTGGTTTGACAAATGTCATACCTCCACATAAATGTCATTTTTCAATGGGCATGATGATTTGACAATCTTTGACTCTAAATAGAGAGTTGATTGTTACAATTTTTATTAGTATTATTATGTGAATTGAAGGGGTTATATATTTTTTTTTGTATCAGATGGAGTAATAGAAAGCCAAAAACTTCCTTTCCAAAAAAATATTATTATGTTTTCTGGTGTAGTTCCAGTAAGTTACTATATATACTGCTGAGATTATCAATGTCAGTTTCCTTATTCATGCAATCGGAACACTTATTAATTTCAACCATTTCAAGAAAAACGCGTTTGGAAATATTTGTTTCTGTATGTGAAACTTTGATTTGGTTTATGTCCTGTTTCTATAGAATGTTGTGTTAATGCAAAGACTTTCTTATTAAGCTTTATATCACTTTTCTGAAATTCTTTCTTTAACAATTCTAGATGTTGTTCCAATATAATCCGAGTTACAATTCTTTATAGTTCTCATATTTTTGGCGTATTTTGATATTTTGTTCATTATGAAAAACTGTTATGATATTTGAAGATACATTTCTAAAATTAGGTATAGATTTATGAGAAAAATTGATAGGTGAACTATTATTACTTAAATTTCTGTTGATTACATCGGAATTTGCATTACTGTCAGTATTGAAAATTATTTTATTGAGAAGTTTTCTGGGATAAGAATTTTCGATCAATATGAAATTCATGAATTACAACTCAATATCAGAAATTCTTACTGAAACATATAACTGGGATAATGAATATTATATTAAAGATTCGTTTGAATTCACTTCTTTCATCAATGAAAAATCTATACCAACAGGATATAATTCAATAAGTCTTGATGTGGTATCTCTTTTCAGCAACATACCCATAGAACTGGTTGAAAAAGTAATACTAAAAAGATGGAATGATATAGAAAAAAAGTGTCAAATTACCCAAAACAAATTTCTTGAAATAACTGAATTAATTTTCGAATCAAGTTACTTTTCATTGGAAGGAAATTATTATAAACAGATCTTAGGTACACTAATGGGTGCAACAATTTCACCAATACTTGCACAATACGTTTTGGATGATCTCTTTGATGAAGTACTTCCCCAACTCAGTTTCAAAGTTCCGTTTCTTAAATAATTTGTTGATGATGTCATTTGTGTTATCTCAAAGGATACATCACAAGAAATATCTGAAAAAGTAAACAGTTATAACCCCAAATTGCAGTTCACTATAGAACTGGAAGAAAATAATACTATTCCTTTCTTAGATGCAAAAGTAATTCGCAGAGATGACAATTTATTGTGATTTAAATTATATTGGAACAATTATCAAGCAGAATAACTTCACACAAAAGTGATATAAGATTAAACAAAAATTAATGTGCACTAGCTCAACATTCTATTGAAACAGGACACAAAATTAAATTCAATCAAGCAAAAGTTTTATATTCAGAAAAAAATATGTCCAAAAGCATTTCAGGTTAGCTTTCCAAATTTCTGCTACCGCAGTTGTCGGTTGATTGGTCAAACTACCAACACTGACATAAATACTTGGTAAGTTGACTTGGGTGTCACACCAATAGGTGGTTCCACTTAGGTTTCGCTTGCGTTTACGCAGTTATTTTTATTAAGTAGTTTTCTTGGTTATTCACAATTTTGTGCTTCAATTGAGGACCGCCTGCCTCGAGATCTCACACGTTTCGACTTCTGAGGGTTGCCGTTCGTAGGAGTGCGACAGCTGCAATACAAAAATTGATATTCACTATATTTTTATAATTAGAAGCCGTTCATTATTTCATTTTGAAAAAGTATATGAATATGGTGTCTTATCAAAGACTTCTTGATGTAGATATGTATAAATCTATGATATTCATTCTTTCAAAGAAAGAAAGCAATCGATGTTAAAACAGTAAGCCTATACAAACATATGTAGATCATACAAAGAAGTAGTAACTCTTGGACACAATCTGGAAGAAAAGCCTTCTCGAAACAACTACTTTCGTATAAACATTGAATTACACGAAATACACTCGAAACAAATATTTTTATATGGATATTGAATTATACAAAAACACACAATTATAAAAAAGACATATAGATGGAGTTGAAGAAGTTTCACTTCAGTCGTGTGGTCCAATCATTTTTTAAAATATTATTCAAATATTGAAAATCGAAAATGAAATGCCACCGAATGTGAAAAATGGTCGTTTCACGTTTTTTCTCTAAAATTTCTTTTCAGTGAACACTGACATTTTAATTTATCGATGTGCTAATCTGTATTTCTTTAAAATAGTTCCAATGACCAATATTAGTGGCATCTATACTGACAGTTCCTTCATTTTGTTCCAGAGCGCTCTCCAATTCATCCTCAAAGCGCTGGCTAAGTTTGGACTATTTCTTATTGGAGGAGCCGCTCTTTTGTTGGTCGGAGGAATTTTCACCACAGCATTATGTTATTTGACCCCGATCTGCGTGATATCGTTTTCTGGATTTTCTGGCTTAGACAAGGAATCTGTACGGTCGCTAATGACTCCTGACAAAATTTCTGCAGCTGCTGCCATGGTTCAAGATGCAATTGGAAAATATCAGAGATTACAACGAGCAGTAGGATCTCCCTAAATGATGTGAGCTGAAGAAGAATGTGATAATGTTTCTATATTGAAAAAACTGTTTTGAATATATTTTAGTAGATCACAAAGATATATCCTTGTGTGGATTGACTGTTATATTCACCATACATTTATTTAATATATTACATTCATTGTATCACAAAATCATGTTCATGGAAATATTTTTTTTTCCACCGAAGTGTGCGCTGGTCGCCCTATCCCCCGAAGCTTCGATACATTCGGGAGGGCGCGCCAGCATTATCAACCAATGACCACTCTTCACACCATGGGGTAAGTGATCATTGGGTCCAAGAATCATGTGCCCTGAGCAAGCGCAGTGAGCCAAGAATGATAGCCTTCTGCATCTGTGTGGCTAAGATTTCTGCCTTAGTGCGGCAAGCCGGTATGATTTTAAGATTGTAGAGTAGAGAGGACTTCATTCCACCAAGGACTCCAATAATCAGAACAACCATCTTGACAGAGTGGTCTGGATAGAGTCTGCGGAGTTCGAAGAGAAAATCTCGATATTTTATCCGTTTTTCCTCCTCTTTTCTGACGATATTAGTCTCGCCAGGAGCTGAAAACTTCATGACAAATAATGTCTTGCTCTGGTGGTCGGGAAGGACTACATCAGGCTTATTAGCTTGTATGAGCCTTCGGGTGGGGATTAGGTTAGGTAAGATTAGGTCCAAAGTGAGTGGGTCTATTCGACCCTACACCGCAACCCGCAAGGGTTTATTGTGGCTAACACCTATTCACACTAGACCAAACAAACCCAGCTTCTAAACGAAGCCGATTAGTTTATATGGTGAGTGGTTAGTTCCCCCACCTGAGACAGATTCTGCGTACGCCGCAGCTCCCGCTCCTGAACTAAAGTTACAGGGATGTCAGTTGGAGTCGTTAACTCGACATCTATCTCCTCTGTAGACTCGCCCCTGAACTAAATTCACAGAGAGGTCCGTTAGAGTCGTAAACTCGACATCCATCTCCTCTGTAGACTAGCTCCTGAATTAAATTTACAGGGAGGTCAGTTGGAGTCGTAGACTCGACATCCATCTCCTCTGTAGATTCGCTCCTGGATTAAATTTTACAGGTAGATCAGTTGGAGTCGTAAACTAGACATCCATCTCCTCTGTAGACTCGCTTCTGGTCTAAGTTTACAGGAAGGTTTGTTGGAGTCGTGAGCTCGACATCCATCTCCTCTATAGACTTAGCGTCAGAAAGAATTTTTTAAGTTTACTCTGTCCATAAACGTCCCACGAGTAGCTAGGGAAAGTAGGTCAATCACGGCATTACCGTGACAAGGCGATGCTACGACGAGAGAGCGCCTGGTATCTCGAAGGTTCCGTAGAGACAGCTGATAGGCTCAGTGTCATTCATCCTCTCGGCACGGATACATACACCTTAGGATTGAACCATCGTTGGGATGCCATTCAGTTAGGGAATAACAGAACCACAAGTGATTCTGTCATTCCCGTATCCAGCGGGGCTACGTGGAAGCAGGCATCCGATGGCCGGTTTGCTCAACCACCACATCCCAAGCCAATGCACTCGCAAGGACAGCCAACCCGGGTGGGAAACGAATAGTTGCAATAAATTCGGCACTTCTTGTTCCCCACAACGGATTCAATATCCCCCCGAGTGTAGGGCAACACCGGTGTCTCGTCAATACCGTAAGAGTGCCGTAGATGTTAATATAGCACTCTTAGGGCCGCGTTATGTCGATGGATATAGGCCGAGACCGCATATACTGGACATGCTGATAGCAAGTGCATTAGGGTCTCCGGCGCCTCGCGACGGGCCCTACACCTTGTGTCAGGAACCTCTATCCCCATCACGCGACTGCGGTAGACTAAGGTGTTGAAAACACCATCCTGGCAAGCCATGCTGAATTCCTCAGTTTCTGACTTCAGCCCACTCGATCTGAGGAAAACGAAAGGCAAGGCGCTTTGATAAGCCAAGGTCTTGAAGAAGACCCCATGCCATTGCCTTATCCTTGTGTCTCCGCAGAAGAAAGGTGATCTGTGCGGCTTTCATCTAAGCTTTTTGCTGAACGGTGTCCAACTCGGTGACAAAGTTGTGGTCACGTCGTTCAATGTCGAAAACTATATCGAGTTCATCAGCTGTTCGGGCAGCTGCCCTAAAGAGAAATGCTCCAATTCCTGCTCTCTCATGGTCACGGACCATGCAGAGAAGGAGATCAGAACTCTTGACAACTTTACAGGCTGTATCAAGCACCATTTTGTCATGTAAACACTCCAAACTCAAAAGTCCACGACCTTCCTGTTGTCGGGGGAAGTACAACCGTGGAACGGACTATTTGGGATGTAAACTCCTATAGAGATGCATCATTTTTCGGGTCTTTACGTCGAGTTGATACAGCTCCTCCCGAGTCCACTTCACTACTCCAAACGAGTAGAGTAAGATTGGAACGGGAAGCATATTTGTTGCAGCAACTTTGTTCTTCCCCGACATAAAATTACTTCATACCAACAGTGAGGATGACAGTGATCCATGCAAGTGAAATTTTACGTCTTTCATTTACTATATTGTGGATTTTTTTCATATTGAATTTATCTGTGCGAGTTATAGGAGAAGTAATATATTCTGTGTATAATTGTGTTGAATAACTGGGAAATCAAGAGTTTTTCTCTGAAAAATACATATTTCCACTATAGTTAATGTTTTGCTAAAATGTTTGTAATGAATTGGAGAAGAACATAAAATAATAATATTACCAAATATCGTAACTTTTGAGTTATATGTTATGATTCTCATTTCTAGAGTAGAGTAGAAATACTACTAGAGTAGAAACGAATAACTCTTGGATATTCTGTGATTGATTATAATATGAAAAAATTTCGATATATTTGAGTTATCTGTGTGAATTTTGTGAGAAGTACCTCTGTGTATGATTGTATTGAATAGCTAATAACTGCATAATTCTACAGTACAATACTTGAATTGAATTTGAGGTGAATAACAAAAACTTGAACGGAAATTTCGATTTTATTGTGTAAATAATTTGAAAAATACGTGATTCTGGTCTAGTTTTTTTGTTTACACAATGACTGAAACAAATTTAAGAATAATACGAAAATGATGATGTATATTTTGTAAATTTTGTTATTTTTGGGTTTAAATCTGTTTAAAAATTCTGTTTTTCCGTTCATCAGCTGTCGCCCTCATACGAACGACAACTCTCAGGAGTTGAGAAACTTGGGCGAGCTGAGGACTAACGAGGTCTTACCTTTTAACGTGTGATTCCTAACATGGTTAATTGTATAAATCATGTGAGACGTACCAATCTGTATGAATAGGTGAGAAATGTTCAATTCCATTCTAATAAATTTTCTCACATTACTTGGAATGTATTTGAGGTGAATATCACAACTTTGAAGGAAAATGTCGTAATTTTTGATTTATTTGTGTAAATAATTTGGAAAATACGTGTTTCTTCTGATTTTTGTGTTTCCAGAATGAGTCAAACACATTTGTGAATAATTATAGTTTAAAAAATTAAAAAACACGCTTTTGAATAACATCGAACTAAAAAGTTAAAAATAATGTTTTCAAATAAGCTCACAATAATAAGGAACGACAAATACTAGTATTATTGTGAAAAAAGCGACGGGCGCCCGATATACAAAAATATGGCACACAGCGCCCACACTTTTTTCACAATAATACTAGTATTTTTCGTTCGTTATTGTTTTAAGCTTTTTGAAAAAAATATTTTTAACTTATTAGTTCGATGTTCTTTAAAAGCGCGTTTTTTAGTTTTCTTAAACTATATTTACTTTTCACTTTTTAGTCCGATTTATTGCCAAAAATATTTTTTTTTAAGTTCTAGTCACTAGTATTATAAACCTTTAACAGACGGCGCACGAATGTAAAGTTCCTCTCAAACAACATAATAAAGTTTGAGGTCTCAAATTCTATAATAATATTGAGATGCAGTAAGTCTCCAACAGAGAGTGGACAGTTGTAAAATTTGTTTTGAAGTAAAGAGACGAATTGCAGTAATAATTTCAAAAAACAATTCAGTCTTGATGTTTTGATTTGAAGTTTCATTCAAAATATTAATGGACTAAAAATATTTTTTCAGTGAATAATTTTATTTTTCAAATTAATCTTTTGATTTGATATGTATGTCAAGCACCTTGATTCTAATTTTTCGATTTTTTGAAATATTTGAGTAACTTAATTTTTTAGGTGTACAATTTACGATAAAGTTTTCATTGTTGAAATCCATATTCTGGTTTGCTTTCAAATAATCGAATTAGATTTTAAAATGTATGTCATATCTCACTTTTGAAATATAAGTTTTTAAAAATTTTTTATTTTGAAAATGGGGAAACAGTACTGAATTCCCCTGAGTTACAACAATACAATATTATTCGTCACTAACTTGAATGTCAATCTGACAATCTGTAACTAGCTTATTTCGTCACGTACGACGGTATTTATAGGAAAATATTTACATGTTCTAAAAATAAAATAAGAAGAAGAAAGAGTCTTTGTGTCGTTTTGAAGAGTTGCGTATATGCAGGTGTTAATTCTGCAGCATCAGCGTTGACATTGGATCTTGTTTACTCCGAGTCACCTTGGTTATGAATGGAGAAGATCAATAAACAACATATAACAACTCCCTTCATATTCAAAAAGTTGGTGCGATGCGGCAACTTTTTATAGCTGGGAATGAAATGGAGGACTACGGGATGTGTTCACATTTCGTTGAGGTCGATTTCTTCTTCCTCTGGAATTCCATCTCTGAGGTTGGGTCTTCGCTTTGGGAAGATACTGGCTAGAGTTTTCAGAGGCCTGAAAGGTTTGGGTGGTGGCGACGGAGGGTAGCTCGAGTCTTCGATAGCTAGGTTTCTTCTTCGCCTTTTTCTGCACTTACAGAGAATGTACAAAAGTATTAGTACAATAATGAGTGTGATAGTCGAATAGGTAAACCATGAGATGTGTTTGGTTACATAGGGTTGATTTATCAAATCGTCAAGGGTTTTGGAATAGGAATCCAATTTATGCTTGGTGACATCCAAA